TTCTAACTCCTCTAGAATGGTAGTTTAAGTGCCTGCCAGTTGTTGATCAATTTGTGTGTGCTTCAAGGTTATAGCATGACTGATCAATCTCGTCAGGAAATTAGACATCTTTCATCAACTTTGTTAGTTTGTAAATACTGATAGGGGGGTATATTTCCCAGGGAAAATATTTCACGAAAGTCACCTTTAAACCTATTTGAAGGAAAAAATTTTTTTGCATTTTTTTCTACTGACCACTATTAATATGATAAAAAATAATTTTCGTGTATAAAATTTTCACGAATTTTTTTAAATTGTGAAATTAGTGAAATTAAACCCTCGTGAAATATACCCCCTATACTGTATTGTACCATCCTCCTCATCTCTCTCTTTTATATCCCTTTCTTTATTATTTTCTAATCATTTTATTTACATGTAATTATTTATTGTAGGCCTAATCTAGTCCCTGAAGTATATTATGCTCAGTTTGGTGCTCAGCAGTATTTAACTAACACAGCCATTAATACTGTTTTTTCTACATCAGTAAGTATGCATTCATGTAATAGTATTCATTGTAGGCTTAACAGGAATGTTTGTTTTATAATCATAATTGTACTCTCTTTCCTCTCCTTTCCTTCTCTCTTCCTCCCTCATAGAGCTCATCAATCCTCCCTATATATGCTGCACGGTTTGCTCTGAATCAAACATTTTTAGATTTAAGCCTCGTCAACGATACCATCATGGTAACACTAACACTTATTATTATTATCATCATCATTATTAATTGTTATTATTATTATTATTATTATTATTATTATTATTATATAGTTTATATTTTATTTTTAGTTGTGTAAAGATCGTCCTTCAAAGATGGCTACCGCTTGGCAAGTTGGTGTTCATTATGAAATACAGTGTTCTCTTGATCCCATTGCTCTTATGACCGATGGCTCTAGCCCTATATTCTATGATATATGTATCCTAAGAACTCAACCAGTTTTATGGCTTCACTCTAGAGGGCGTATATATTGAATTAATTATAATATGTTGCATAAGATGTCAAAGATGGTAATATGTTAGTGCCCATTCCTGTCTTAATCAGTGGTTATCAGGACAATAATGGTGTCCTTGTTAATGAAGGTATGTGTAAATGAAAGTGCGTTGATACAATAATAATAATTATTATTATTATGTACACTACCCTATCAATGTAGTAATAGGCAGTATATAATTAATACATGTATGTTGTGATTATTTACATTTGTTTACATGTAGTGTTTATTGATTGTGTTTATTTTAGGTGATGATAGCTCTCAGTGGCAGTTTGTGAGACGTTTCTATACCCACCAGTCAGTCACTGGCACTCCATCATATCTTGAATACACTGAAATCAAGTAAGTCTGGAATTAGCCTAAACTTTAAATTCCTCTAAAATTCAATTTTAAATGAGAAATCAGCTCAGAGTTTATATACAACATAAAACATGTACCATATAACAGGAAATTTTGGAGGGAGCTAAATTTGGTGAATAGCTAAATTTTGGTGATTGCCGACTTTTAATTTGGCGAAATTTGTGGCCATATGCCATTGAGCATGCACATAATGGCTCAAAATGGTGGATTTTTGGACTCGCCACGCTTGCGTAGGCGGGTACTAAGCAGTTGGGTTGTCATTCTGTCATTCTGTCCACACAGTTTAATTGATTTCTAAAAAATTTATCTTTTTGTCTGAGCAGTCTAGAGCTCTATTTCTTCTTCTAGCAACAGATAAAGTTGCTTTCTTTCATCTAGTTATGCTCTTGTAGCATCCTGTGGCACCAAAAGCTGTGAACTGCTAAACCAGGGGACCTTTCTTCAGGTGAGAGCTCGTGTTTCACTCTACAGGGCCGAGATTTTCTTCAGAGGTAGAAAATTCCATCTAATGAAAAACAAAAAGAACGATTTTGTCCTAACTTCGTTGTTTGTGAGTTACAGTTGCTCAAAGTTTGTGATTTAGCCTCTTTGAGAATTTTTCAGGCGGCACTGGGGAAATCAGGAGCAACCAAACTCTCTCAGTCTCTTTTAAATATCTAGAAAAATTTTCTGTGCCAGCTCTTTCTTGGAATAGAGCTTCAGATGCTAAAATAAATTTCAGCTTTTCTTCTTTCTCCTACCCATGTGCCATGATTTAGTTAGTTGTTGACCACACCCATAGCTTATTTTAATTATTTAGCTATGCAGTCAATAATAATAATTTTTTTCAAATTGCTTAAAATCTCACAGTACAAGTAATACATATCACTCAGGTGAATTCCAGCAGGCGAGTCCATTGCACCATAGTGCTTCATTATTTTGGCAAATGGCTATCAAAACGTCAAATTTGCCAAATTTAGCTATCTCCAAAAAAATTTTTTTTAATATGGTGTATGCATCAGGAAAGAATTATTAAGTGGAGAATCCTTTCCTTTTTATTTTTGACGAAATTTGGCCACAGACGGTCTTTGACCAGATATTTTGGGCAACTTATAAAAATCGAATTTTGAACGGAATCGGTTCAAAGTTTGTAAACAGCATAAGTTTAAGTACTTGTACAGGTACATGTATATGCATCAGAAGATGTAAAGAATTATAACTACATACTATAACAGCCTGTATGATCTAATTGAAACTGGTTGCATACATCATAAGGCCATTCTTAGGCTAATATAATTTCATGTCTCTTTGTACATTTTCAGTATACAGTTAACCAGTCGTGGTCACATTCAGTCTCCATATCTTAGACTCTCCTATCAGGCTATACCTACCAATGATGCACAAGTTAGCTCACTTCCATTTCTATTATATTTTATTATAATTAATATTCCATTAATATTAATTTTAATCTTTCCTTAACATTAACTTTTTTTTAATATTAGGCTTCATTTGTTGTTAGATACAGTGGAGGAAATAATGCTTTTAATATTGCTTTATTAGTAAGTGCATAAATTCATCCTCTTCTTTTATGTGTACATGTCTATTCTCTCTTCTTGACAGGTAATAGCTAGTGTGTTTGTTACTCTAACTGCAGTCTATGCTGGCTAGTTCATAATCGTATTAGTAAATAATATTTTAAAATT